TTTTTTTAAATCGTCATGCATAAATCATAAATATATTATTGATCAAATAATTCAATATTAATATTTCAATACTAAAGAGTTTACACTTTGATTACATTATGGCACTTATAATTAAACAATATTTGTTTTATGATTGAACTGCTAGTTTATGTTATAACAGATCACAGATTTTATTTAATATTTATTCACTTGTACAATACCTGTAGCTACTATGTCGATCTTAATTTAATTTTTGTTCTTAATCTAATTTTTTTTAAATATTTTTATCATTCAGTCTTTATTTTAATTTATATCTTAAATTAAAACAATATTGAAAACTTTAACATTATGATTGATATATTTTTATGGAATTATATTTTCTTGAAATATTTAAACATAAATTTATGAACTCTTAAATGACAATTATAATAATAAATGACAAAATATTTGCAAAATAGCAAACTTAATTATGTTTCAAAGAAATCGTCTCTGCTAGGTATCATTAATCTTATTATATTACTTTTATAAAATAAAAGAAGATATATTTTTTAAGAAAATAAAATGTCATTCATCAATTCATTTTGATTAGATCATTATAATAGAAACTACAATTAATATAACTAATTAACTAATTAAGATATATTAATAACACGATTTAATAATATAACTTTAATAAGTTTTTGAATAAAGTATGATACATTAATTATTCTTCCAGTAACTAGTAACAGTAAAGCAAAATCTTAATAATTGTAATATTTGTAATAAGATAGGAAGCGAAGAAGAAAATATTGAGGTTAGGTTAATGTACGAATACAATATGTTAAAATTGAGTCCACTATAACCCTTTCATTAAAATTCTATAAGATTATATTATATTAAATTTCATTGAGCATATGTTTGTATTCAATACGATTTTATTCGATAAATGTTTTAGTACATCTATTAATTAGATTCTAATAAAAGCAGAAATAATTTTATTAATAGTAATAAAATATTTATTAAATCTTCTGTGTAATATTATATATTTATATATAATTTTCTATTTCTTTTTCTAAATAAATAATATTGCTTTGAAAAACTGTGTTTCATAAATATGTACATATAAAGTATTTATGTGGATTAATATATATTTTTATACATAGAAAATATGTATTATTTTTGTTTATGAAAATGCTTATATTTCCTTACTGCGCCAGCACAGATAATTCGTTTTGACATTGTATTTTTAGATTTATATTTGAATATTTTAAAAATTTTAGACTAAAAAAACATGTAATTACGCTCGAATAAATGTCAATAGTGGCTATTAATGATTTTTGCTTGTTTCAATAGAGCTTTAAAATTTTGTAATGTGTATGATTCAATGATTCAAATCCTTTGAGGTTACAGATCTTAAAAGTAAATTTATTCATTTATGCTCAGTGATATTTGAAATTTGTTCAATTAACATTTTCAAAATTAATATAGAAAATGTTTAAGATAATATTAAATATTTTAAATTTGTTTGTAATTAAATATTACGAATGAAATATATAAAATCAAATATAAAAAAATTCATTAAAATACTGAAAATATAAATAAAATTATATTAAAAAAAAAATAATCTCATTCATCAAACAATAAACTTCCATTTAACTTTAAACGATCTAAAATTCTTTTATAAACCCAGATCTTTCCTTTCAAACAAGACATCAAAGCGTGCTCTTCATAACCTCAAAGGATTAAATTCAATCTTTCGATCAATTTTCGCTCATGTTGAAATTCGTTTCCACGCTTATAATATTATCTATCCCTTCTTTGTGCCTTATTCATGGCGTCTATACAACTTTATTATTAACTTTTTAAAAACTTTTTACACTTCTGCTTCAATAATCGTTTTCATTCTATCACATTTTTCCTTTTCTCGGAAATTAAATATGTTTGGCCAAAATTCATAGGCCATAATATGGACAATGGATGGATTTATTTATAATTAAGTAATTTTTTTCAAAACTTAATATATATATTTATTTTTAATATATACATTTATTTCAAACAATTAGCTCACAAATAATACGAATTTTAATATTTATGTTTTTTATTAAATTTTGAGAAATATCAAAACGAAAAGCGCGCGACAATTTTGGAATTTATAATTTTTTTATAGGCCTTTTTTTTAAACTTTGAATTATTAAGGAAAAGTAAACTTTGATAATAAAAAAATTAAAACAACAGATTGTATTCATGTTAAATTAATAATCATTTTATGAAAATTTTATATCTTTTAAAAAAGAAGGAAAATATTATCAAATAAAAATTTTTCTACTTAAATGATTTAATAATGTTATAATATTAATGAAATGTAAATTTAATAAATCTCTTTAAATCTTTAATTTTAAAATTCTCCATAGGAAACTATAGAAATTTTCAACTATTTTTTAATCAATAAATAAAGATCTTGAAAATTGAATATTGCTGTCTTAAAAGAGCTTAATTAATCGACTAATACGAATAGTTCTATGATATTGCAGAACTTATTTATTGCATTCCTGTGACACCTCTTTTTTCTTTAATACACAGAATAGAAATTATAATATTAAAAAAAAAAATAGAAATAAAAAATTACAAAAATATATATATTTTATTAATAAAAAATAATCCAAAATTTTTTTCGATATTATTAATTTCTTGACATTAAGAAATTCATTTAGATGTAAAATAAAAAAGTTTCATTTTTTTCTTTAAATCAGAATCACGAGATAAACTTTTTAAGACAAAATTGTTATCGTATCATTTGATTACGGTCTCATTAAATCAAACGTCATAGTTAAATTAGAAAATTGAATAATGGCTAATATGAAATCATCTTAGTAGATAATAAGATACATAGTAAGATTCTCCGGACAACAAGAGGATTAACTTGTTAATGTACAATGTCACGCATTTATTTTCATTTTGATTAATATAAAAACTATTTTTCTAACATTACAAACTTAATCAACCAGAAGTTATCTTTATAATGTCATAATGTCCTTTTTAATAGAAATAATTACAAAAAAAAGAATAATATTAATAAAATAAATATCAGGATTATTCATATATTTCTTCATCAAGTTATCAATAGAAAAAAAATATCCCAAGTTTATCAATTCCAATCGATTCTCGAAGTACTTTTTTCAATCGTTTATAATAGCAAAAAACTTTTTTAAAAATTTTAAATTTGAAAAATCTTCTATGAATATAATATGATATTATAATTCTTTATCAAACAAAAATCCAAAAAGAATTTTTCAAAAAGATCTATATATTGATTAAGCTATAAGTTGATGAACTAAAAAAGAGGCGAGGCGTTGAAGCATCAAAGTCGATATTTAGTCAAGCTCTCGACCTTTTCATCCGATAATCATGATCGTAATTCGAACGAACCATTCAACGGAACGATCACTAATATGTACAGAATTTTTTCAAGCATTTTTCATCAATAAATCATCGTTTTCTGTTATGATTTTTTATTATGAATAATGAAAAAATAAATTTTTGAAACGCAACGATATTATTGCCCTCTAGGAATTTTTATCTTTATATTCTTGATAAATATTTGCGCACTTATTATTGCTCATCTATTAGTTAAGAAATATTCCGCGAGTATGTCAAATTTGATGTAAAAATTTTTTATGGAAAAAATAATTTTTCTTGGCAACGATGTTCCATAACTTCGAAATCATTGATTTGATCCCTTTGATGTCTTAAATTAATTAATTTTATCTGGTTTTACTTTAATTCTGTTAATTCTCATTGTTGTAGAAACTCGATTTATTATGTAACTTTAAAAACGAAAAAAATTATTGTATAAGAAGTAGTAGTCTATATAAATGTTTTGCATTATTTTTATTATTAAACTATTTTTTTTTCACATAATTGTTTCCCTTGTTATTTCTTTCGTTTAGATTTATAAATTTCATAATTTAAATTATTGAAATTAATTAAAATACGGCAGAGAAAAACGTTTTTTTATTATAATTTATATAATTTTATTTAACTCTTTATTTTGTAATGTGAATTTTTATTGTAGATTATAATCAATAATTCAAATAGAAAATACACATTGTATTCAAGTAAGTATATACGTGTTTTATCGTTTTTCATTCGTAATAGCAATGAAAGAATTCAAGAAATATATAAGTATAATATTAAGAAAATTATGAAGCAAGAGGTTATAAAGAGATATTAAAAATAATATACTATAATACTATTAGTAGATATAATATAATCTACTAATTTATTTTTATATCACTTTATGAATCGTTTATTAAGCATAGAAATAATTGTGATAATTAATCTATTTTTTATTTCGATAGTTTTTTTTAATCATTTCATTTAATTTATGTAAATTAATTGTTAATTTATTAAGCATTAAATATTTGTAAACAAAATAGCCATGTTTCATGTTTAAAATAGAATTTTAATTTCCTACATGTTTCAACAGTTTTTGTAAACTATTATTATTATTATTATTATTATTACTATTAACAAGGAAAAACATATGATAAATTATTATTATTATTTTCATACTTTTAATATTATTTCTTATGTTTTTATTTTCATTTAATCAATGATGAATAACAAATATTTAATTCATAAAAATTTAAATTTAGGAAATATGCACATTATATCATTTTGTGCATATTTCCTAATGAAAACATGATAAAATGTAAATAAGATTAAAAGAATAATTTATTAAAAGAAATATAATAATATTTAAAAAAAACTATAACATTAAGTAATAATCGTCTATCTATATAGAAATAAGTCAATATTATAAAGAAGCAAGTTAAATCCCAATCCAATTTAATTTAATCTTGCCTATCGGATATGAAATCCATTTGATTTATAATTTATAATGAACCCATAATGAAAGAGCAATAAAAAAAATTTGCAAGAAATTTTCATAATTATAACACGCTATTTCTCGAGGTATAATCAACAGGTACAAACGCGATGTTTCATCATTATATCGTACCTTCTTTAATCCTTTACTGGTCCATATTTGCCGTTGATATTTCATAATGATTGAATTCCATCGACAACGCCATCTGGATCCTCGTTAAAAAACTAGAACGCTCTTAACAGCATTATTAAGCCCATCAGCCAAAATATCCCTTGTTCTTGAATTCTGGAGGTACCATTTGCAATAATCAAATCAGGCCCTGTCCAATTCGTATCAATATCATCCAGACACTCGAATTCACAGCATCGTTCGCCGACCCGAAACTTCTTGCATCTCTATGGCAAAAGATCGATCAATCGTATTAGTCAATCGTCATCCAACGATTCAAGAAATCCAGGCCATGAATGGTAATGAACTAAAGGTATGAAAAAATGCGATATATGCAATCGTAATAAGAGGAGATAAGGATGGGTATTATAGAATGAATTGAATGACATTTTGAGGACAATTGATTCTTCTTTTGTAGTGTATGTGAATGAATTGCTTCTGAGAGGTTAGATGCGGAAATTGACGAGTTAGCAATAGATTAGAAGAATATTTCAGGTAAGTGAATTATAAATTGATTTTGATAGTATTATTGATATTTGATATTTGATATATTATTGATTGTGGATTAAAATATATTTTATAAATATAAAAGCATATTCTAATGGTCGTAAATAAATAGAGGTTATACATATAGTAAAATAATTAAAAAATTGAGGAAATAAATTATAATTGAATAAACTTCAGTAAACTAATTTTGAAAATTTCAATTTGTAAATTTAAAATAAGATTTTAAATTTTAATACATTCAATGATTAAGAATCAATAGCGTTCTATTGAATTTTATTATATGTAATAAAATTTATATATATGTATCAATAAAAGTAATCAATAAAACTAGATTTTCGCAATAAAATTTTGAAATGATGCTTAATTCGCATCACAATTTTTAAATTTTGTTGCATCTCATTTCAAGTAATTTTTATCGAAACATTTATTTAATAATTTATATCTAAGTAAATTTTTTTTCACTTTTTTGTTATTTCAATTGCAACACAAATAATTATTACATTATAAAAATAATTACTACATTTAGATAAAATAATTTTTTGATTTCAATATCGATTCATCTCTTTACTAATTTTAAATTTGTTCATCATATTCCATTTATTGGTTTCACGTTATCGACTAATATGTTTTTAATACATTATCTCCTAAATAAAATATTGACATCGAATTGAAATCGCGTTAAATGGCATGATCTTTTTAGTTTCTCACTCTTTCAAAACAGGTTTATCCATCATATATTATGGTTATATATTTTCAAGATCAAAAATTTAAAAAATCATCAAATAAAATATCATGTTTTACATGTTCTATTTTCGTTACAAAAATGGTACAAGCAAAGTGTAAGAACAATTCAATAAAATTGATTAAAGTTTGATTATTAATATGACAAGTACTTTGTTTCGGAAAACATGCAATTCGTCAGTCTCGTCGTTTCTTGTAAACGAAAAATATAGTCGGACGAGATTAGCATAAAACTTGTCGCATGCGATCAGATGGCCTGAATGTCGAGTAAAAGGGGATAAAGCTACGTGATTCGAGGCGGTTAACTGAAAAGTAATGATTGTAACCAAAGACGAGATATGTGGCAATATTATATTTCACAACAAATAACAATGTATACAAGATGAAGAAAAAATCGAGATATAACAAGGAACAATAATATTTATATAAAGTCTTTTCAACAATTATTTCTGAACAGATTTCTTTTGTCTCTTTTTACCTCAATAGTTATTTTTTTATTTTTACAGTAGATATTTATAAAAAAAAAAAATTTATCACTGAAAATCATATTCAAATAATATAAATAAAAGATGAAACCGGCATCAATTTTAACAGATTTCTTTTATCTCTTATCGTTCCTCTTAGCTATTTACTCATTTTTTGCATAGAATCGATATTCATGAAAGAAAAATTTATTATTAAAGAAGTATATTGATTGAAAATGAGATTATTCAAACTTTCTCTAAATATATCCACGATAATTATTTACGACTAAATAACATGAACGTTTTTGCAACATGAAACGAAGAAATAGGTAACATGTTTGAAATATGCTAATGCAAAGAAAACGTTTGTATGTGATATTGATTTTATACTTTTGCCACGCAACGCGGAAATTGCGGAATTAAAATTGAATTTGCACCGCAACGTTGACGTTACGACAACAATTATATTATATATGTGCATATGTATTAAAAAAGTTAAGTATCAAACATCGCACAGACTATATAAAGAAGTAAATCCGGTAATCCTTCTATTGAAAATAGGATTTCCTTGATTCAAGCTTAAACAAGAGGAAACCTATGAGAATTTTCTTCGATATTCTTCTTCACTTACGAATTACATGATACGTAATCTCTCCAAAAGAATACACGTTGTGACAAGATGCAATTACTGTTAATAAGATTTTCAGAGTATATTTTCAGAAATATTTCAGATTAGATTGAAAATATAAAGTCTGAAAATATAAAATCTTCGTTAAGAGACTTTTTTCGCCTAAAAATAAATATTTTTACGCGAATAATTTTGTATTATTTATTTCACTTTTTAAAGAAATTATTATTACTAATTATTAAATAAGCACACATATGCTTCAAAAATTGATACTTCGAAATCATTATTCCTCAATATAATCATTATCCAATTTATTTTCGCATCGTACGCTCGATCCATTCGTTAGATTATTATCATAATCTATATTCATCTAAATTCTTCATTTTGATTGAAAAATCACGTATTTCCATGAATATATTATATTTCAAAATGTAGCAATTAATTGTGAAGTAATTTCAATTTTTTTAAAAATAAAAATTATTCTATTTTGATTGAAATATTTCCTCTTATTAAAAATCTACCAGATATTATAATAATAAATAATCTGTTTTTATTCAATTGAAGAAAACCTGAGAAAAAATACGGCAGTCATAGAAGCACGATTTTACAACAAGAATCTCATTAGGAGTTTGAAGATGTCACATTGAATGAAAATTTAATAATGTGAATATTAACTATATTACCGATACCAATCGTGTTAAGACAATTCTTAAATAAATTAGCCTTCTGTTTATGGAAACTTAACGAATGTCGTCAGCATCTTCTATTGATTTCTGAGAATATTTTTCACGAACGAAGACTTTGTCCTTTAAGGCTTATTTTTATCGCGCTCGCATGAATAAAATACAGATTATATTAAAAGCGTATTAAAAGTTTATTTATTACTTATTACATCATCTATTTATTAAGAAACAGATGAGAATAATCGAGTAACGTAATTCGATCAAGTTCCAAGTAATATAATACAATTTCTCGCGAACCGTAATTTCTCGAACGAACGAACTTTGCTTTCCTGTGATTAATAAAAAAAAAGAATGAAAAAAGGAAAGGAGGAAGAAAACGATGGCCTAGATCGAAAGCAATGGTTGTGATCCGTAATATTTATTATTCGTTTGTTCGTTCCATGTCGCGCAAGAAAAGTCGAGATAACTGGTGAAGCGAGTAAATAAATCTGCCATCTCCCAATGGAAAAATATTCATTATCTCGAGATCACACATCGCTAATTTCTACTTTTTTAAACGTCCTATTTGTTCAGAGAAGATATTGAAAAAGAAAAAAAAAAGAAAGTTAAAGAGAATTACCGATACATTATTCGTTTTTGTTGAGATCAACTTGTAATATTTTCTCTACAAAGATGAAAAGATGGTTAATGAACATCGATTGGTTGTTTTCGATACGATTATAAAAATGTGTTTATTTAATAATTATTTAAATTATTTAAAATGTGTTTATATATAATTATAAAAATATGTACATATGTATATAAAAATCTTATATCATAAAATAAAAATGGGAAAAATCCAATTGTACAATTTCTTTTTCAATTTGATAACTTAACAGAATAATTAACTTAACAATAAAGTTTTACAGCCCTTATCTGCTTCATCGACTACAAATGGTTGCTATGTAAGAAAATCTTCGCTGATTAAAAATTCCAAAAAATAGAAGCTCGCCATTGAAAACAGATTTAAACCATCGTTTTAATTTCATTTAATTGAATTTCTCGCCAATTTCACGAACCATGGACTTTACAAGTGTCGTGCATTCAAAGGTATGATTTCCCTTTTTTCCTTCTTTCACTTTTCAATCTCTAGTAATTGATCCGTTAATTCCACGATATTTTTAGAATTTGGCTCATCACGTTAAATTTACAATACAATTAACTTATTTTTTTCATATTTTATTTCAAATTTTACTAAATTCAATATCTGATTAATTTTTTAGAATAAAATTTCTTGTATAAATATTGTAAGTTTGGAATATAAGGCAACGTGTGAATAACGAATCGTTAACCTAGTTTCAGTAAAAAGCACGTGCATATATACTGATCCCTGTAACGAATTCGACACTCCAATTATTATAAAGCAATTTCTCGAGTAATTTTTTTTTACACAAATATAAATGGTTCCAAAATGGTTGAGAAAGCAAGAATAAATTTGCATCTATCGATAGATAAAACAAAACTGGAATTATTAAACGAAGAATATTCTATAAAATTATATTTCTGTCGTAATAAAAACTGAAGAGTAATTAAAATGGACCAACACCTGTAAGTTTTTAATAATAATGACAAAAATAAAAAAAAAAAAAATAATGAAAATTAATTTGACAAGTTTGATAATTGATACTACACTTTAATTGTTTCTACTTGCAGGAAGTGCAGGAAGTTTCTTCTTAAATGAAAGTACTCACGTAAGGTGGTGTGCAGAAGATGGATTGACACCACATTGGTTCTGAATGATAACAGACGCAGAGACTGCAAACCGCAGGTCCTGGTACATAAAGGAGACCGTGTCGAACGATCGCTCCTTGGAAATCCGTACAATTCTCCTCCAAGGCAGCTAAAAATAATTTTCATTTGAATGTCTTCGATACTTGGTTGCATGCTCAATTGCACGTATTGTTAATTACGGAAAGCAAAATTATTGTGCGCGCTAATTTTTGTTCGATAGATCTGCATTGCAGTTTTCATGGAATTATAGATTTTGTTTAATATTAGATCTTTTATTGAAATATAATAATATTATATTTAATCATTTATATATGTATATATATATATATAAAATAATAATATTGTTATATCAAAAATTTTTTTATTTAGGATTTTACGATCCAATCTTATAATCTAACATTATAATATCGGGTAATTATTTACAAAGATAGTTTCTGATTTTGATGATTTTTTTAGATATTATTATCACCATCTTGAGTTCTGAAAATTGGCAATCATTGTTCATTAAAAAATTATGAACGAAAATATTTTTTCAAAATAGTTTAGTGAAGTCAAATTAGTTTTGATTAAGTTTATTATAATAAATAACGACAAATAATTAAAAATAATAATAAATAAATAATAACAATCATCAAATAAAACTATCAATTTAATAATCTTAACAATATATTAAAAAATATTAAGAGCGGAGAACGATTGATCACTTTATAAATATTTATCATTACAATATCATTTATATAATACAGAATGTATACAATTAATTAGAAAATAACTGTAATGAAGAAAAAAATTCAGAAGAAAAGAAGAATTGAGCCTGAGATATATATACGATCTACGTGACGATATTATAAATGATTTCCGTCATTCAAGCATGTTTGAATTTATGAACACAATCGAACAATTGATTGACGAAAATTATTAATTTCTGTCTTTATTCTATTATTTAACATTGGAACAAGATCGGATCGTTTCGATTCCGCGCGCGATTAACAATTAATTACAATGGATAGTTTTCAATGCAATATCGATAATATTCGATAAATAAACGCAAAGTCAATTGATTAAATTCGGTCGAATTAATCTATATTAATTAATATATCATATAATACTTATTCGAATATTATATGTACATCTCTATACGTATTAAACCGAAAAAGATTCCATTTATTCGAAATTAGAAATTTGATAATTATTGTGTGAAACTTTATATAAAAAACAGAAAATTTTAAAACAAAGAAATTGTTATAATTTTTTTTATATAATTATATAATTAATTATATAATTATATAATAACTATAACATAAAGTAAAACTTATTATTTAATATTCAATTCATTACATTATGCGAGTACATACTGAAGCTTTAAATTAATTTAAGTATAACAATACAGAATAATAATTAAATACAGAAAATAGAACATGTAATTAATTAAAATTCGAAATTTTCGTGATGTACATATCGAAATTGATTTTACCTGTATGTCGATTATAGAACTCTTCAACTTTCAACTTACCGGTTCTTGACGGAAGGAGAAGAAGAAGAATAGCGGACAGATAGAATACCCACACGAGTATTTTCGAGTAGAGGCTCGAACTACTCTTCATGGTCCTCGATTGAGTTAGCCACAGAAGATCAAAGAATGATGTCCACCAGGGAGGCTAGATAGATGAAAAGTTATTCCAACAACCACTGTGCATGCACTGCAGCGGCCAGGAGTATGTTATCTGCGATAGAAATCAGAACACATTCGTTTCAAGTAGTTGGATCAATTTCGCGTGGGACTATTCTGATTGATACTAACGCGGGATAATTGCTTTGTTCGCGACCTTAACCGGCTGCTTGATTGCCTGTAAATGTCTGAAATTGTCACTTGGACTCTTTCCAGATTAACAACTAAGCTTTTTTTATTTTCTCAGAATTAGAATATATCATAATGCTTCTCTTTTTTAATTTTTAAATTCTAAATTACTTTATTGTTTATTTTTTTTATCAATTTTTATTTTAAATACCTGAAAAGTGTTCAAATAATATCTATTTTATGTTATTAATTATTAATCTAGTGAATTATTAATCTACAAAAATACGAATTTTGACAATAATGTAGGAAGTTCAGATGAAATATGGTACTCAAAAATTGAATGGATCCAATATTTCGTTCTTTCTTCTCAGATTTTGACCTCAGGATCGTAATCGCGATCGATTAACCTAACAATAAGTAAGAATGCAACAAGAAAAGACTAACGTCATTTGTTTAACCTTTATCGTTAACGAGACCATTTTTCTAAAAATAATGCAAATAGCAGAATATCAAACATTTGAACTCGGATTTAAATATTCATGATTGGCACGTGAAACACTGATTATTATTCATCGAAACCAATTATTCAGTTCACTATTCAATTATTCACTAGTAATTTAACTAGCTAACTATTATATCTATACATTGAATATGTTTTTTTAATTTTCACTTTTCTTATATAATTTAACATATAATTATTTTAATTTTAATAATTAATAATTTATCATACTATTTATAAAAAACAATACATAAATGTAAGGATAAACTTAAGAATAAATTTTTTACAAGTTGTTCTCGAAATAATTTTTTCGTAAGCTCGAAAATCATTTTCAACATCATTTCCACTGAAAAAAACAATCCCACAAGCAATTTTCGAGAATTTTACTCTCATATGTATCCACTACTCTAAGAATCAATTTTAAAATTTTAAAAAACAAAAAGTAACTATTATAGCAATATGGTTAAAATTTTTTTCTAGGAGAAATAGTCCTTGACAATCACAATACTTTTGCGTTTCTTTATTCCTTTGATTCATGAAATTTACGAACACTTTCAACACGTGTCTAAAAATCTCGAAAACCGAGTAATAAGTAGTTGCGTCGTAGTTTCACGCGATAACAAACGCTATGTGTGGCAACGCACGCTTTTCTAGCATTTTAAAAGCTTTTTTCTCCTCTTATTTTTTTCTTAACGAGTAGAACCGTTTCCGCGAGAGCAAAAGCATGGAAAGCATTGCACGCTGACAGTTCTGTATCGCATTAACATTAATGGCCCGTTTCAGAAAATTAAACTTTCATTTTTATCTTCATTTTTTCTTTATGTATATATTTGTTTATTTATTCATGTACATATTTTATTAAGAGCAAACAAAAATTGTAAAAAAGTATTTTACAATCGATGATGGTGAAATTAACCTCTTTTCAAACTCGTTTTTCATTTCTCGAGAGAATTTTTTTCAATACAGGTGAGTGAATTTTCATTCGATTTAACTGATTTCATCCATGTTTTACCAAAAAATATTTTTATCGAAAATTTTCGAATAGTTTCCTGAAAATTTGTTTAAAAAATATATAAAAGTAAAGTAAAAGTAAAGTAAAATGAATATTCATGTTTTATATTTCTTTTTTTACTTTATAAACTTTTTATAAACTTCTCATTAAAAATTCGTAATATTTATTTATATAAATTTTTTTCATTTACTACGATACGAAATTATATTATTTAAAAAATTGAAAAATATGAAATGATATGCTTGCTATTATATAGTAAAATGTTGTTTTATGCAACAATAGCATTCTGACCAATCTGTCATAAAAAAAGGGATTAAATTATAAATTAGATTAAAGATAAAACTTATACTTATATACATATTTTCATGAACAATTTAAACATTCATGTACTTATATATTAATGGAAATTTAAAAAAAAAAAAGATTTAATATAAAATTTATCTTAATAATTTTTTTTTTATTTTATGAGAAATATTTTGCAATATTCTAATTTATAAACAAGTAACTTTTGAATATTAATATAATAATTTAGCTATAATTAGACTAATTTGTGATTGAAAAGTAGCAATATATTGAAATCAAATGTAGACAAATATTTTCAACGATAAATTTTGATTCTTTTTTAATCAAATTCATGCCTTTAACCAGAATATTGTTTAAACGCTTTCATAGTTTTTTTTTTTTGATGTCATGTACTTTTGTTATCGATTAGATGACGTCTATGTACATTGTCATTACGTCAACGAAGCAGAATATTTATCGTAGAAAAGAAGACTAAAAAATAGAAAACTTTTATTATTGCATTTTTGTAAATAATAGATAAAATCAAAGATAAAATCACTAATTTTTTATAATTATACCTGTATAACATCAAACTTCATTATGTTACAGTTAATGTCTAAAGCCTTGTTTAATTTTTATATTTTTTTTTTTTTTTGCAATAGGTATTTAATTTCCAAATTTTTTTTTGGAACTATTATGTATTAAAATCTCTCGATTTATCCAACTCTGATAAAGGTCGATCAGCAATCTCGATTTATTTCAACATGGTGTAAAATAGATTGTATCAAGAACTTTCAAAAGTCGATGCGATATTAATAACGATCAATTATTTATAGATGTAGGTTTTCTATACGGTTAAAGCGTATCATCTGGTGAATTATCGAGTTTCTGGAATGCGTAGGATGACAAATGGAATTGCTATAAACGGGTTCATTACTATGTATATTAGGGATGAACTTATGATAATCTTGATACAGGATAGTCTTTGAATTCTTTGTGATTCAAACAAATAAAAATACAATAAGTAATAAAAAAGGAATATTCTGTAAACTGTCTTTTCAATTTTTATGAATTTATATTTACATTAATATAGATTTATAATAGATTTATACAAAATAATTATATAAAATTATATTAAAAGTTCAGATAAAAATAATCATTAATTATATTAATTATTACAGCAAAAAAATTAATTTCTTCATTAATTTTTAAGATCCACTTTGTACAACAAATAATTGGGATTTTAATTTTGTGCAATCAATTGATATTGAAGAAGCTCTATAAGTATTTAAGTACATACGATGACTCTTAAATGTAGCAAATTATCAGTCAACATTCTTAAGAAAGCCTTCAAGACTTAAGAATTTAAATTGGACACTAACTCAGGTAAATGACAAATTGCCCTATTCTTTTTATTAATATTAATAAAACTTATTAAAATTGCCATTTTTTTTTCATAAACACACAGAATACACATTTGCACTTTAGAAAATTAAACTTTAAATCTTCAAATATGCCTAATCTTCAAACTTCAAAATTACTTTAAAATACAAATTAAATAAAATTTGTAAGGCTCAGATAGAATTTTTAAAATCTACAAATATCTAGCTGTGATAATCAATATCCATATAATTTATTATTTATTAATTTTGTATCAATGTAAAAAGAAAAGAAGAGAAAAGAAGGAAAAGGAAAAACAGATTGGAAATTAACTCAAGTTTCAATTTATTATCACAGGATCTATGTTATAAAACGAATGAATCGACGAAACATGCTTTAAAATTGTCCAAAATGTAACAATGCCTGAAATTAATACAAATCGTCGATCCATAGTTTGAATTAAAAAATGGAATGAAATAAACTTTACCAACTTTGAATTTACTTTGAACGATGATTGCGATTTATATAGTATATGCTCGACTGTTGAATAGTACAATGGGTATGTAAGACAAACCAGTTATATATGCGATTGCTATCACCTAATCTATTATTTATATATTACACGTTCACAAGGCAAACGTTTACCGATATAGACGATGTTTTCCGACTTCCAACATAATGTTGTTTACAATTTAACATAGTATGATCAATTCGAAGATTATTTTGAAAATAATAATATTTTTTAATCAATTGAATATTAATTGTCAAGAAATAATGCAACACTTTGTTCACTTATTTGATTGTTATAGAAATCTTAAAATTTAACTTTTTAATGATATGATTTTTCTATATTTTATTTCATAAGATATTTCATTCAAGAATTTTTTACAGATCAAAAATAATCCAGTTTCAAACCATCTATTTCTTGACTAACAAAAAATAACAAGATAAACAAAATATACACTATTTTTCTTAATTTATAATACAATTGTACATACATGTATATGTTAAAAATAATGAAAATAAAAGATAAACAATGAAGATAGAAAACATTTTACTAATATTCAATATGATTATTATTAAAAAATATATTGGAAATTTCATATCCATGCATTTGTACTTACAGAACCTTGAAAATAAATTCTTAACCCAAATAGTCGACCTCGATACTTGAGAAATTTTGAGAAGCTGACGTCAATACCAATACTATCGTTGTAGTTATCATTTTGTACTAAGCTACGTTAATTTTATTTGACGAAATTAATTTACATTATATGAAACACTACATAAAATAAGCGAAAAAAAGAGTTATTTCATCACATACATATTTAAAGATATACTAAGTATATAAATACTCTTAATATAATATAATATAACGTACAAATACGAATACGCAGTTGCATATATAACGAAGTGGTTGAATTTAATTATTTCTCGACTTTTCAGGTATCAAAATCTCCTTTTATTGAACATTGAATATATAAAATATATAAATCATTCTGCACATTAATTAATCTTGCACATAATTAATTAATTAAACAAACATTTGTTCTATTTATTTTTTTTGTTCTATTTTCAAATTTTAATATATATAATTATTTAACATATATTGAGTAATTTTTATCGAATGAAAATATTTCTTGCTTTTTTTTCTTTAAATTTAAATATAAGAAATTTAATTTATTTTCTTTTTTATTCTATGTTATTATTAAATTTATTAAAATTTCTAAAAAAAAAATTTATTTAAATTTTTCAATTTTTATTTTATTTTATACAATCAATTCATTCAATTATTAAAAGTTATGATTTTTTTATTTTAATTTAAAACATCGATTTTTATTATATATTATAAATTGTGACTTTATTTAATTGCACTCATATTAGAAATTAAATATATATTTCAGTTCAAATTTTAATTTATATTTTATTTCATTATAAACGTTACTATCAGTAATACTTACAACGAAATCTTATAAGCACTTATGTATATTAGAATGTCTACTGTATATTAAAGCTCTATCACTGAATCACGACTCTGCCATCTAGTGATTAAAACTGGTCATTTAGAGGTACTAATCTGAAGTGATGGATAAATGATGGATTGAAAATGTCATTAGAATCATAATTTCGTTTTAATTTAATTGATCTTATTTGTAAATAAATATATATAATATTTTTTATAATGTATTATAAAATGCGATAATTAAAATAATTGAATACTTTAATTTTAATTTTGTCATTTTTAAAATTAATGTGATAATTAAATCTCAATGATAAAAAAGTGAAATTATCATTGTTATAATAGAAATATTCATTTTTATATGTAACAATCTTTTCGAAACATCATAATAACCTTAATTTCATTATTAATTTAATTATATCATTACATTAATTCGAATATAAAATAAGAAAAAAAGAATGTAAAATATAAAATAAAAAATTTTAATTTTTAAGAATGAAAATAATTTTAAAAAATAATTTTGAAAAAAAATTTTTTAAAGATTTTCAATTTACGCGTTTCAGTTTATAGTTTATACATCGATTTAAG